TGAATATTTAATTTTTCCCATAGACTTTGTACACAGAAATTTTTTAAAAAATGTCAATTTTCAGAGGGCATTTTCGACACTTTGCCAGTAATTCATTTACACCAATCTTTGTCCAAGCAATGACCCTAATTCAAACAACATTGTGTAATGATGACGTCATGATGACGTCATCTGGTGTTTATTTATGGCCAATTTAATTGTGACACTTTTAATATTTAAAAATGCATAAGAAATCAACCGTACGCGTCCGCAGCATTCTGTTGCCGGCAAGTGGTAGAGTAGGTTGAGGTCTTTATTTCATTCAGTGTGTGTAAAATCACGTGACCCTTGCTTCCGGTCGAAAAAGGCCCAAACCGGAAGTGGCTTATTATTTAAAAGTGGTAATAGATATGAACTTGCTTTTAACGGTGTTAGTCCCTTGGCTGATATTATTCTTCAAATCATCTACCGATGACGTCATGCAATCTTCGAGCGCCCTCTAGCGACAGGTTGAATATTTTCAAAAATGTATTTTGAACAGATGTCTGTGGCGAAGTTTGTCAGAATCGCCTAAAAATTGGTGTATATGATGACCTTGACCCACTTAAGACGTGTGCAAAGTTTAAGGTGTATGACGTCATCGGACCGGAAGTTAAAATGAAAAGACCCTTTTTCCTTAAAAAATTCCTGAAAAATCAACCATGGCAGTTTTTATATTAGTTTTTACTTTAATTGTCTATTTAAGGGTAGGTCTAAAATATTTAAAGCTTCAAGGCAATAAGCAAACTCGGACATGCCCTGCGCACGCTTAAAACTTCAGGTTGACAATTACTCTGCTTTAAAACATGCACAGTCCACAATATACATGTACAGTACATGCACCTACGTTGTACATATCGTATGTCAGTCAGCCCGCGCGCAGCGCACGTGTAGCTGAGGTCAATCCTGTCCACAGTGACCGTTTTAGCCGATTTCCGGCTAACTTTGACAGATTTCATGTTCATGCATAGTCAGGGACGTAGGATAGACACTTTTTGTATAGAATACGCATGTACATGTTCATTCGACCTGGATGAAACTCCTTTACGGCAGTCATTAATAAAACGGTCGAAACAGCTCAGTGTTTGTCCACAAACACATTTCTAGTTTTTTTTGGCTTCTTCTTTTTGTCGCCTAAACCCCATAGACTTTGTGCACGTTTTTTCTCAACGCCACTTTTGGCATTAATCTTTGTCATACATCATTCAAAGTTAGCATAAGCATAGTCCCTATAGCAAAGATGTGTCCCAAAGATTGACGTCATGGTGACGTCATCGACTAATTTATTATAGATTTTTGAATATTTAATTTTTCCCATAGACTTTGTACACAGAAATTTTAAAAAAATTGTCGATTTGCAAAGGGCATTTTTGACTCTTTGCCAGTAGTTCGTTTACACCAATCTTTGTCCAAGCAAAGACCCTAATTTAAACAACATTGTGTAATGATGACGTCATGATGACGTCATCAGGTGTGTATTTATAGGCAATTAAATTGTGACACTTTTAATATTCAAAAATGCATAAGAAATCAACCGTACGCGTCCGCAGCATTTTGTTGCTGGCAAGTGGTAGAATAGGTTGAGGTCTTTATTTCATTCAGTGTGCGTGAAAACACGTGACCCTTGCTTCCGGTCGAAAAAGGCCCAAACCGGAAGTGGCTTATCACTTGAAAGTGGTAATAGATATGAACTTGCTTTTAACGGTGTTAGTCTCTTGGCTGACAGTATTCTTCAAATCATTTACCGATGACGTCATGCAATCTTCGAGCGCCCTCTAGCGACAGGTTGAAAATTAGCAAAAATGTATTTTGAATAGATGTCTGTGGCGAAGTTTGTCGTAATCGCCTAAATATTGGTGTATATGATGACCTTGACCCACTTAAGACGTGTGCGAAGTTTTAGGCAAATGACGTCATCAGACCGGAAGTTACAATAAAAAGACCCTTTTTCATTTGAAAATTCCTGAAAAATCAACCATGGCAGTTTTTATATTTGTTTTTACTTTAATCGTCGATTGAAGAGTAGGTCTAAAACATTTCAATGTTTCGAGGCGATAAGCAAACTCGAACATACCCTGCGCACGCTTAAAACTTCACGTTGACAATACCTCTGCTTCAAAACATGCACAGGACAGAACGTCCACAATGTACATGTATATGTACATGCACGTACGTTGTACATAGGCACATACATCGTATGTCAGTCAGCCTGCAGCGCACGTGTTTCTGAGGTCAAATCCTGTCCACAGTGACCGTTTTAGCAGATTTTCGGCTAACTTTGACGGATTTTATGTTCACGCATGCGCATAGACAGGGACGTATTATAGCACTTTTGGCATTAATCTTTTTCAGATATCATTGAAAGTTGGCATAAGCATAGTCCCTATAGCCAAGATGTGTCCCGAAGAGTGACGTCATGGTGACGTCATCAAGTGATTTATTATGGATTTATGAATAATTAATTTTTCTCATAGACTTTGTACACAGCTTTCTCCACAAGTCTTTCCCTATACAACACTGATATATCTTACTGAGTAGTTCTGAACTTCGGCTGAGAATTACTATGAGAAGGAAAAAGAAATTATATTTTTTTTACGCCTTTCATTTGATTGAAAATATTCCCAAGAGTTAGAATAGCAAGTAATATTTTATAAAAATGTTTCAGTTTAAAGGAAAATCACGCATTTAAAGGTGCAGTTTTTCTGCTGTGGGATTTTTAACCTATTGACTTTGTACACGTTTTCAAGCCACCATTTTCATATTTTGGCGATCTGGAATCGTCATCAAAGTTACAGCCAAGAAAGACCCTCATACAAAAATTATGCCAAGACTATGACATCATGATGACGTCATCATCAAATGATTTATTATGGATTCATGAATAATTAATTTTTCTCATAGACTTTGTACACAGCTTTCTCCACAAGTCTTTTCCAATACAACAAAGATATATCTTACTGAGTAGTTCTGAACTTCGGCTGAGAATTACTATGAGAAGGAAAAAGAAATCGTATTTTTTTACGCCTGTCATTTGATTGAAAATATTCCCAAGAGTCAGAATATCAAGTAATATTTGATAAAAATGTTTCAGTTTAAAGGCAAATCACGTATTTAAAGGTGCAGTTTTTCTGCTGTTGGATTTTTAACCCATTGACTTTGTACACGTTTTCAAGGCACCATTTTTATAACTTGGCGATCTGGAATCGTCATCAAAGTTACAGCCAAGGAAGACCCTCATACAAAAATTCTGCCTATACTATGACGTCACGATGACGTCATCACCTAATTATTTATTGATTTTTGAAAATTTACGTACATATTGTGAAGTCTTATATCTACAGAAATGTAAGTCCGATTGGGTTGAAACTTGGTATGTGGCTAAACCAGGATGTGTTATAGATTAAAAATGAGGTGACGTCATGATGACGTCATCCTGAGATTTTATATGAATATTTATTTGTTCGGACCTTTTAGCCATATCTCCCGAACGCAACATGCAAAATGCAAAATTCTTTTGACAGATTTTATGTTCATGAATATTCAGGGCATATTATTGATTAAAAAAAATCATAATGCGGAAAAGCCCTATGTTCTGTTGCAAACAGACATAGACCTCTAGTTTTCAATATTTTGTTTATATTTTGGTGCCCTTTTTGTTTTTTATGCTAATGAACTTTCCATATTCATGAGCAAAACTGTGATGTCATTTCAGGCAGAAACCTCAATGTTACAGCTATTCAGCACAAAAAGTTGCTAGAATTTTTGATATTTTTGCTGTCATAAATTTTCTTTTCTTTGGTCTTTCATTGTTGTGTCAATATACATGGCAGTAAGCCAATGAGTTACTCTTTCTCACAAATGTTTTCAACGAGCAAATGTTTGGTTTCACAATTTAAACAGAAAACCCTTAAACTAAATAGTGTCTTCCAAAATTTACATCACAGCAACAGTGGCCTCATTTGTCGGGAAAAGTATGGAAATTTTTTTAATGTTTAAAGAAGTGCACTTTTCTGTTCAATACAATTAACCAAAAAGGAGTGCCAAATAGTTTTCAAACATTTAAGAGGAGAAAGTTGCACAAACTGTGTTCCTCAGAAAATGTCAACGCATGGACCCTTTAATATACATGTAGTCGTGTAATAACCCTTCCTGTGTGCATCAATTGCCTTTTTTTTTCTTTTTCTTTTTTACTTTTCCCTTACATTTGTAACGTATTCAGATTCGATAAAAAAAGGGTGAAATTTGCATCCACGCAGCTGAGCTGACTATGAGGTGGATGCAAGTTTCCACTTTTTTCCCCGGTGAAATCTGACCATTTTTTTCAACGGCATCCATCTTCTGGCTCCAAAAAAGACATTGCAAACGGATGGAGTATCGCATGTGCCTTTATTTACATCGCCATTAAATTCCCACATCTTATGCTGGAAATCTTACGACATTAGCCTTGCACTAAGCGATGAAGATTCACTATATTGCAAAATACTATAGACTTAGTTTGAGAAGTTTTATAATAATTGTCCCACGTTTCGTCAACCCTCATTATAGACCTTATTCACGAGGAAGCCATTTTGGATCGTGTTCCCTGAATCTGTTTTATAGATTGTAAACTATTGAATGGGATGGTGCCAGACTATTTTTTTATTGGACTGGGTTGCAAACCTCGCTTCCGTTTTTTTTATTTAAATGTTGATCAAGACATTAGGGTATAATCCCAAATTGTATGTTATTCATCAGAGAGCAGACGGGTATTACCCGTAATGAACTTTAATTCGTTGCTTTTATTTCTACTCGCTAAGTTCTAACAAATTAAAAGTTTACCTCGCTTTCAATTTAATATGGCCGACTCGTGATAGGGTCCCGTTTTCGGACCCCCTTTTCTGCAACATAAGCTCCGCCCCGAAGTGAAAAATGAACTCACCCTCAGTGGGTGTTGATACGATACCTTTTATATACATGTATTTCATTCTTTTGTATCGTTGTAGTCACTGTGCTGAACACCGCTGCGCAGACGACAGGAACTCCAACTGCAATGACCACTGGTGAGGGCGCTATTTCTCTTGAGTAAACATATTTTAGGAGCTACCACTGTAAGTTCTAGGAAAGTAGAGGTTTTTCCGTGTCCAGAGTATAGGCACTTCTCTATTGTTTGATCGTAAAAGCATTTTGTAATTCCGCTGAGAAGAAGAGGGTATGTGACCCTGTTTTGAACGTCAAAGACATTATTTTTTCGTAATTCCGCAAAATACATTTTAGGGCATCTTTGCTCTCATAAAATAAAGAGTCACTCTCTTCGATGTTTGTTTTGGTCTCCTTTCCAATTTTGCCTGTTTTATCGAATAGGGTTTTGTTTTCGGTTGCTTTTGCCCTTCTAACGAACCAAAAAATCCGTCTGAAATATCTGATTTGGGTTGCTTATTATTCTACCTTCTGCAGTAGTTTTCATTTTAAACAAATGTATTACTGGAAAGTATACTTTGACCCCAAATTTGAATATTTTAGGGATGAAACTCAAAAATAGCATGGGGAGATCAGCTTTACTGTTTTATGCAATGAAAGGATTTTAACAGGTGTCCGTGGTGGATTTAAAAAAATATATATTTCAGATCACTTTGCCCGCTTTGTATATCGTGTTTGTCGTAGAAGGAATTGAATTTACGACTGTCCTTTTTAACGCCACCGTAGAACACTGAGAATATTTTACAACCACATTCCGGGGCTATACACTTGTTTATTGTCCCCGTAATTAATGGTACTCTTGTAGAAATGGTGCCATTTTAAATAATAAATGATGTGCGGCATTCATGTTAAATGTTAGACATTGAAAGCGCCATACATTGTTTCAAAACAATTTGAAACCCAATGACAAACAACTTTTAGGCACGTTTTCAAACAAAACCAGTAAAAATCCCTATTTTGCTCCGACCCCCAAAACTGGAAACGTCAGCATATACCTTCCACGAAATGTTGCCCGTGTTGAGTAGAGGTAGACGATCTTGTATGTAAAACACAAAAAGGGTTAGATCCATGTTGCCAGAAATAAGAAATATGTCGAGAGCTTTGAGGAGGGATATGTCCTTCAGTAGACTGCTTTTTCCTAACTAGATAATTGGGGTTTTTTTATAATCTGAAATTATGTATTGGACAGGTATGGACACAACTCCCATGGCAAGTGATGAGGCAACTGACAACAGCACCGCTGCCGCCGCTGACGCAACAACTCCGCCTCCGGGGATGTCTACGGCAGGAGGCGGTAGGTGCCTTGTAATGAACGAGTTGCTCAAGAATCGCACTCCTTTTGTATCTACACCTAAAACCTCTAAAAAAAAAGATTGGAAAAGAACCATGTCTGAAATCAGTCATTGAAAAGTGTTTCATTCAATACTTTTCCTTTCGCGGATCTGCACTTCTCTTAGCAATCGTATCTGAATTTATTCATTAAAAAAAAATACAATGTAAAATAATATCACAGTACATGTACGGGTGTTTATTGTAACTATCCAATCGTAGTATACAGTTAACACATTTTCAGGATACTGAAAACGAATTATTTGCCTCTTCAACAAAATGAGAACACCTGTACCCTACTCCCAAAAATAATTGTGTTTAATCAAACATTTTCTTTCTTTTTTTCTCTCACTGATAGATTCCACTCCTGAGATCACAACTCCAAGTCCGGCAGGCAGTACATCTGCTACCACAGATTCGCCAACTGACACACAAACAACACAAATGTCAACTGGCGGTAAGCTCATTTCGAAATTCCAACGGGAAAACAAATCTTGCCGATGTTTAAAACTTTTATAAGTCCCATCCGCACGCGAAGTCCCAACAATTCTTTCAAGAAATCCTGCTGCTAGAAAATTACGAATGATGCACCTAGACCTGGTCTGGCGAGAACTTGACACGTTTGTGGGACTCGTATTCCTAGTCGCATGGAACTAAAATTCTTCCGAAGACTTTCATTAAGGTAATGATGCTTGGAAGTTTGAAACAGTTGCACATGGGAGCGACTACAATCGTAAGATCGGCTGCTGCATTTGTTGGGAACGAAGTCCATGGAAAATCAATCCATTAAAGATACACACCTGAAACCAAAATATATTTGGGTCGACCAAAGTCGCTATGGGTACCTTTTAGTTCAACGCGCGTCTGAAATGTGTGCAATCGTCGGTTAAATGGAGTATTGACCGACGCGGAATTCGAACCGACACTAAGCCCAAATAGAAGAATGTAAAAGTAGCAACCAAGTCGATGCTCTCAGTGCGAACTCGTAGACCTTATTCGCGAGTAAGCCATTTTAGATCGTGTTCCCCGAATCTATGTTATAAATTCTAAACTGTTGAATGGGATGGTGCCAGACTATTTTAAGATTGGAGTGCGTTCCAAGCCTCACTTACACTTTTTTGTTTTAAATGTGGCTTAAAACATTGGGGATATATTAAATCACAAAGTCTAAACTATTCATCAAAGCAGGCTGGTTTTAATTCCCCCAACTCCCAAGGGGGTGTGCAAAATCATATTAAATTGGAGGATTCAGGACTGCCGAGGGTTAGCTAATGAACTTTCATTTCATTACTTACATTTCTACTCGCAAGTTCCAAAAAGGAAGCGTTTACCTCGCTATCCATTTAAAATGGCCGACTCATGAATAAAGTCCATTGTATGCCAGTTGGGACGTTTTCTTTTTGAATCCCGACCACAAAAGAGAACATTGAGATCATCAGTAATCGGTATCATTGACATTGGAAATCAGTTTATTGCACTGGTGACGTCCCTAATTGTCGTTGTCATCCCTAAGTGACAGTGTAACTGTTTGGGGTGCTCGCTATGTAATATTGACATAGTAATTGATTCATTAAGTTTATAAATAGCGTCACTTTTTCGTTCGTACAGACCAAAATCCTACTTCAGGTGGTCAAATGACTGAGTCCAACACCACGCCTTCTGGAATGGCTTCACAAGGCGGTAACACAGAGGGTGATGATGGGAGCACGCAGGCTCCAATGACCGGAATGACTAGCGCTGTAAGTAGGCAAAACAAAAGGAGGAATCTACTCTTTGGATTGATCTCTCTTTTTTTCAGAAGGCATATCTATAGTTGGGTGGCTGGGTATAGGTTGTTCGTTTAAGTAGAGATCTTCCCGAGACATCACACCGGTGCTCATAATTATCAAGGAACATCAGATTTGATTTAAGTCCCAGATGAATGAGCAGACAGTCTTGATCCTTTTACTTTAATGACATATTGATTTAATGTTAAATTGGGATTTATAATTGTCATTCTATTTGGAATGGATATCTAAATGGTCTCAAAATGTCTTGAGAAGGTACTCCCGGTGTGACTTTGGCTCTGAAAACCAAAGGAATGTTGACTCAAATGTCGGTATTTCCTCAATGGAGAAAAACAAATCTACATGTATATGCTAGTTACATGACCTGATTGATCTCTGAACATTTAACTGATTGATCCAAAATAAGAGGTCTGTGAAGGTCTTGTTAAGGTCTGGACTATACAGTACTGGACAGCTGGGTGATTAATTAGCTCAATGCTCGCCATCCAGAATGTCATTCTAGCTAGGCGGTAATGGTTGGCTAGCCATCGTCTCTCAGACAAGACAGTTTTCAGTGGGTGGCTGACCCAACCACCAACTCCCTCCTAAAGAAAAGCTGTTTGAGTTATTATAGTACTGGACAGTTGGTTGATTAATCAGCTCAATTCTCGCCATCCAGAATGTCATTCTAGCTAGTTTTCTAGTATAGGTAGAATAGTTGGCTAGCCATCGTATATCAGTCAAGCAAGTTCTCAGTTAGGTGGCTGACCCAACCACCAACTACCCCCTAAAGAAAAGCTTTTGAGTTATGGCGGACACAAGAGGACGCTATTTGGAGTTGATAAATATGGGTAAAAAAAAACACAGTTATCCATTCATAAGAGCGCCCTCCTGTAATTGTTCTTGACGTATCTCAAAAAAGCTAATGGCTAGCTGGCTACATGATTTTTCTTCTCGGTTCATTGTTTGTTGGTCAAGTCTTGTTTGAGTTTGAGCGACTAATTGAATGGCCGGTTATTTTTTCTTTCTCACTCCGCAGGCTCGCCTCAGTTGCTATACATGTGAAGCTAACATGACCAGTGACCCTTGTTATAAGGAGCAGAATGCCGACCAACCGAAGGAAACGTGTGGGGCCGGGGAGAGATGCTGGGTAAGATTACTGCTAATCCAATCAGTTGTAACAATCATGCGCCATACTGTGTAAATGATGTCAATGTACATTAATTTGGGGCTGGGGTCACTTACTTTTAAAGGCTATTCTGCATTCCACTCATATATGCCGGATAACTGAGGAGAAGAAAGAAATATTGTTGTACTCAAAATGGTCGTTGATTAATTTTAAAGAGGTTGTGGAATGCTCGAAGACATTTCCGTCATTTTTCGGGTATATGTAGCCTAAGGTGTGATGAAATAAAAACGACTATTGTGTCTGTCATGAAATGCAGTACAAAAGGAACTTTTGAGAGCTGTTTTCAGGTCCTGTTTCGACCCGAAGGTGAAATTTGTGTAAAAGTCGTCGTTGGGGGCAGCAAACAAAACATACTAAATCGTGACGTAATAAACAGGACTCGTTTATACTACGCTGCATCGGGAGTCCTGTTTATTACGTCACGATTCGCTATGTTTTGTTTGCTGCCCCCAACGACGACTTTTACACAAATTTCACGTTCGGGTCGAAACAGGACCCGAAAACAGCTCTCAAAAGCACCTTTTGAACTCATTTAATGACAGACACAATAGTCGTTTTTTTTTTCATCACACCTTAGGCTACATATACCCGAAAAATGACGGAAATGTCTTCGAGCATTCCACAACCTTTTTAAATCCAACTTTTGGAGGAACGCTAATCCTGATTTCAGCCTTGAAGATGTGTTGCAACTCGACTTTTTGAGCTATACGTGCTTCTAATGCCTCCAAACATAAAGTATGCCCGACGTAATTCTCCTAGTTAAAAATCAGTAACGACCAAAGCGAATGTTCATGTTGGGTCTTTTGCTGTTGCTGCAAAAGTTTAAGAATATATTTGTGCAATTTTCAACTCCTCTTAAATTTATGACAAAATTTGACATCCCTTTTCTGTAATTTTATTGAAAAGTGCACTTTTTGAACATTAAAAAAAAAATCCATGCTTTTCGGACAACTCAGGGTGCTTTTTGCTGTGATGTCATTTCAGGTAGACACAGTTCAGTTTAGGGCTTTCTGTTCAAATTGTGAACCCAACTTATTGAAAACAAAAATGTGTGAGTAAAGTTTGCTCTTTGGCTTACTGCCATGTTCTGACACAACAACGAATCACCAAAAAAAAAAGAACACTTACGACAACGAAATATGCAAAATTCTGGCTACTTTTGGTGCTGAAATAGCTGTAACATTGAGGTTTATGCCTAAAATGACACCACCCTGTAGGTACAAAATAGGAGATTCTAAGATTGTTTTTTTTTTATGTATCGCGTTTCATCCTTCACTTTTCAGACTACTCGCCGTAACCAGGACGGCAAGTTCGTCAACCTGACCCGCAGTTGCCTCCCAGACGCGTGTAAAAACGAACACGACACCGCTTCTGCCGTATTCTGTGAGACAATGCGTGAATCCGAAATCTGCACCCAGTGCTGCGAGGGTGAAGTTTGCAATTCCCACGAGAACTCTGCAGGGATGGGTCAATCAGGGTGTCTGTCGGGGGTTCTGTTATCCGTTGTGGCCGTCTTGGGCTTAATGCACCAGTAACGTGTGCTGAGGGTGTCGGGATGGTCTCTCCGGGTTTTTGTCTGTAAGACATTGTTGGTCCTGGAAGCAGTTAGGGACACCAAGTTGGTTGGAATGTTTTTTTATTTTTTATTTTTTTTTCATTTATTTTAGATTTTAGGGTTCGGCTTGTGGGTTTCAGTAAGTTGAAGTTTGGGTGACACCATGTGGCAAAAAAAGAAGATTTTCTGAGTTAAGTGATTTTGAGAAGAATTTGTAAACTCATTATTTCAAGACGTGTGCCCTGGTTGGTCTCCTGAAGACATGGAGCATACCGTTCATTGAGTGTCAACAGGTTTCTCTCACAACCACATCATCTTTTCAAATTGATTTCTGGACAGATGGTGAGATTTATGCATTTTTGAGGATACATACCCATTTGATACCGAACCCCCCCCCCCCCCCCCCAAAGTTGAAGCGCACCTCCAAAAGGAGCAGGACGTTGCGGTAATGATCAACCTAGATTGTGTTTAAAATTCGATAGTTTTTTAATGCGAGCTCAGACCGGTCACTAGTATTCCTTGTTCATGAAATGGGATGCTCTGTGCCCGCGATCATCTTGTGTTTGCAGAGCCAGCAGATACATTCTTGCGCTCAGCCAAAATGTAACAATTGTTTGTCGCACGAAAAGCTTGCTTGCCTAAAACAATAAAACATGTCTACACTCGATATACTGGGGCAGATAGGGGACATGTCTTTGATAATACACACACACAGTCAGGGTGTGTCTCAAGAAATAGGGCCATCGCAGATTTGTCCTTTGAAAAAAATATAGGTAGACAAACAAGCAAATTAAAAATTGGCTGCCATTGCTTGTTATTCCAGCCACATTTTTTTCCGAGGACAAATCTGCGATGGCCCTACAGCCAAATATCTTTCTCATGACATACTCTGACTATGTGCCAAATGCCATGCTTGTATCATCAAAGGCACATCCCACCACCTATCTGCCGTAGTGTTATACACACTTGGTAAGACATCATCGTCTTTGTATAGACCTTTTTCGTTACAGGTATGTCAGAGGATGTACTTTGTTATTTTAATTTGGTAACAATGAATGCACCCAAAGATTTACTCGTTCCTATCCCGGCGATGCAAAGGCATTGCTCTCTGACTCAGCCTTAACGCATAAGGTATTATATAAGAGCCAATTCGTCACATGTATGGTATACAGAGTTATGTAATGTTTGGTAAGGCAACCTTGGTCGGGACAGTGTTAGGCAGTGATGATCTGAAAAATAGATGGTATATGATTTAGTCATGAGAAACAAACTTTTAAAAATGGTTTATTGTTTTGATTTGATTGGTTGAAAATATTTCCGGTTAGGTTGCTCTTGTAGTTTGAGGGTTTCAAACACAGTGAGCTATCGGGTGGGTTTTAAATGTTCGAACCGTAACCCTGTTTTCCCGTGATATGGGGGGAAAAAAACAGGCATACGGTTCAAACATTTTCGATTTGGTTCAACTTTTAAATGTGAACATTGTTAGCTGCAGACTCTTTTCAACAGAAGTGTCGATTTGACTTAATTTCTTCTGAATTTTAATGCACGTTTTATGAAATCGATGTTACCTTTTTTCTGCATTTGTTCAAAATCAACGGATCATACTTGCACTTGAAAAAAAAACAGATTAAGTTCAAATGACAATCAAAGAGGAAATATTAAAGGGAAACGCATATGTTTATTCCCCGTTTTTGTTTTTTTTATTACATTGTGTCTGCAGAAATATGACATCGCCATGTAAATGTATGTTTGAAATAGACAATTAATTAAGATACACAGATCGCATGCACCAGCATTTTTTTTGTAAATAAAACGCTAGTTTATTGTTAACAAAATTACATTTGATTCTTTTTAATTAGCGTAAACATTTTAAAATTGAAATTTATTGCGAAACGTTTTGGAGAATTGGGTTATAGAACCAAATAAAACATTTTTTTTTCAAAGTTAGAATTTGAGAGAAACGGTGTTACTGTCATTCACATAATTTCACAAAAGAGGCCTTATATCTTTGGTTATAACTGTCAACTGTAATGTACTGTATAATTATATGTAAATAAACTCCAAGAGTTTAGAAAAGTGATATTTTTAATACAAGGATAAGTATAGTACAACGTACAACTAACGGTGATACAGCGTTTTGATAGGGTATGTTGTAATATATTTTTACTAACACAATTTACGGGTTGACGACCATAGACAGAGTTGTAACAAAGGAGTCTTAAAAGCTGGACACAAAATGGATTCCGCAGTAGAACAGCGCACTTGAAGCCTTTCGGTGTCCCCTCGCAAAACGCTAATTTACAGTTCAGATGTACAGGCAATGTGATTGGCATTATTAAACACAAAACATGTCAACATTCGTTTTACATTTTTTTTTTTGGGGGGGGGGCCTGGACGCAGTAAGTGCGACTGTGTAATTGTATGGAATTATGCAAATTCTGTCGGAAATGGAAGAATTTGAGTGGTATCGCCCATCAAAATGTTGTGCTGCTGTTGGATTACCTACCAAAACTAAAAATTTAAAACGTATTTGGAAATTAAAATCTTATAAAGATATATGCACTTTTAATTTAAATTATATCGTTGGTTGTTTAGTACCTTAAGTTCCTTAAAATGTCGAACCTTTTCAGAAGCTTTCTATAGAGGCTTGGTATATTTTCAAGTTTTTCTTGTAAATTGTAAAACACTTTAAATTAGCACCATAACTTAATTCATTATGCTTTTAAAGATAATTTTATTTATCAATTTTAGCCTTCAGTTTTTATTATTCACTATTATTATTCACTTTTGTGAATTTTATTTGAAATTTTTTAAAGCCCTTTTGCAAAAACATTGCACGCTTGTATGTATGTGAATAAATCAATTACAGACATGATCATGAAATGTTCATATGAAGATAATCATGTTCGAAAAGTCCAAAGGGAGGATGATACATCTAATGCTAGGCTGATCCAGTATATTATTAAAATTATACATGTACATTGCCAATCTGGACGTTGTTTAAAGGGCAATTGATGGCAGGCAATGCTTTGCCATTTCCAAAGGTTAATGATTTTGGTCGACGGAATTCTCCCGGGGAAAAGCCTGGTTTTTTTATTTTTATTATTATTATTTTTTTATCGGGGCCATTATTTCGAATGATGGCAAGTGTTTCATTTTGTGGGTGTTTCCTCTTACCTCGTGGAATATTTCTGTATACCTGTCATGAGGACCGCTTACATCACTGCTTTTTTGTTCACACTTTGCATTAAATGGTTACTCGAATTCGCAATTGACGTTTTTAGACTGGCATTGATCATTTTGTTAAGCGTTTTAAAGTGTCCAGAAACTATAACGAATATCAGTTTGGAAAAGTGAAATTACATTACATACATACAAAAAAAGTGTAAGAAGGTTGCAAAATGCGAACATATATTGTTTAAAATAAGCTCGCATTTAAATAAATAATATTCGAGAGCCAATCACGCCAAAGATGACTTAATTACATGTAACATTTCCCAAATATAATGTCAGTCATCTTTCGGAGTTTGCCTTGTTCTTTAGCTGTTTGGAAACAGCTCGTAATCTTGCATTACTCCTTTACGTATTAAACGAACAGAAGAAATACCTTGTTTGCAACAATGTCTGTACTGGGGAGTCCATTAAGATTATGCTTTACGAATCGTACAATTGCGAAATGGAGAAAAAAACACCCGCAATTAATAGACGTGGGCCTAAGTCCATCGTACGGGCCTCCTCATCCGTAAAATATCCCGATATCGAAAAGGGCGCCAAACTGTACAACGAATAGTGAACTACAGGGGGCGTCCTTATATTTCCATATGAAGCAGGTCGCTACTGTGACTTCGTTATTTCACGTCAGTAATGGTGAGGCGCTAACCTCTTGAGGTATATATGGTAGACACAAGAAGAGGGCGCTGTTTGTTTTATAAACTCTTGTATTTACCCAAAAATACCGAAGCAAAATAGCGCCTTCTGTTGTGTCTGCCATAATCTCAATACAAATGAACACCTTGGGATATTTCTTTTTATCCCGTAAACCATAACATGTTTTCAGTGGTATCCATTTTCCTATACCGTATACCTGTGGCTGGCTGTAGCTTTTTTATTTATTATTATTCATGAACCATAGCACGCATGCGTATTAAAAATTCATGGTAACTCGGTAAGTTTGACATAATTTTACATAATTTTACATTAGCTTAATCAAATCAACCCTTTTTTCAATCAAATTATTTTCAATCAAATCATACCTTTTCATCAAATGGATTTGTCCTGGTCGGCATTTCTGGCTCTGTGGGATTTAAAGGAAGTTATAAAACGAGAACCATACTGTTCACAGTTGGCCGATACGAACCATTAGCTACTTATTGCTTTTTAGTGATTACGGTTGCGAAAAACAATATTTCACACCGGTCCTGACATTGGGTGTCAGAGATTGTGCATGCCCCATTTCACTCCATTCTTTACTCAATCGTTATTCATAAATACCTCAGACAGTTTAGCTATTCCTATTGGTCGAGAGCCCGTCACGTGTCCGGTCTTAAACGGATGATAAAGACATGGCTAGCTGGTCTTAAACACTTTTTCAGTGTCACATAAAATGTGGACTCCTACAAATCCAGTGCCTCTTACCGTTTAATTGGTTGAACGTTCACAATCCTCACGTAGGCATGCGCAACACTACCAGCGAGTCAGAATTTTATAGTTCGAAATTCAAAACGCAACGCCCCAGGTGCGTTCTGCGCGACATCGCGCAGAACATGCTACGCGCGCGTCAATCTCCATAAAAGGGTTGTTTACAAGCTTACTCGCCAGCTGAACACTCCATTATTTTGCTAGAGGGATGTTTAAAAAAGCATAAAGTGAACTTGTTAAACAAAATCGGGATTTTTTGAACGAATAATTTGATATTTTTTAACCGAAAAGGTATTTATGAATGGGAATAAATATGTGCTCGGTCGGTATTTATCACTCTGTTTAAGACTGCTTAGAGTCTCGGTGCTGATAATTACCCTCGCCTCCGGCTCGGGTAATTATCAGCACCCAGACTCTAAGCAGTCTTAAACAGAGTGATAAAAACCTCCGGAGCACACATTTATTCCCTTATTATCCATCATGTTACAAGTAAGAGAGCGCCTACTTAGAAAACTATACACTCTCCAAACACTGGTTAATATTTGGTTAGTAAAAATAATTTGGTTCAACATCGTGTAATTTTTCCCCCCAATTTGACCAATGTTGAGTACACTTTACCCTATGTTGGGTAAACTTGGTTAATATTTTTAACTAACTTTTCATTTGTTGGGCTGTTCACCTGGTAACAACGGTTGGTTAAAATAGTTGACTCATCCAGCGTTGGTCAAATTTGGTTAAATTTAATCAACG